AAAAAAAAAGGAAAAACAAGAAGGTTGGAATCCGTCAGTATTCAGTTAGTCATCTTCTCCTTCGTCTTCCTGCAAGAGAAAGTAGGCAGTTAGGTCTTCAGGGCTGCTGTCCAGGCCACGCCCTTGCTCCCACAGAACCAGAGCCCACCAGCACCATGCCCCTTTCTGAGCACACCCAGGTTTCTGAAGCTGTACTATTAATCCACATACCAGGATGAAAAGTCCAGATGCTGTCAGAAAACCCAGCTTTTTTATTTTTTGCAGAACTGGGGATTGAACTCAGGCCCTTGTGCCAGGCAAGTGCTTAATTCTGAGGTATCTTCCCAACCCCATAATCCAACAATTTCTTTGGGCACATTCTGAACCTGATATACCCAACCTACCAACCTATTTGCAGCTCTTAGACTTGCCTTACACTATGGTGAGGTTCCTGCCTCAGCCTTCACAGTGTTGGGCTGTGAAGAGCAGTTAACACCTACCTACCTACAGCGTTCAAAGTCCAATCTACCACAAAAGGGTTTGAAATAAAGCCCACACATGCAGGTTCTTCATTTTGAGACATTTCATCTCGAGTACTACTGACCTCACTAAATCTGGGGTAGGGAGAGATGAATCTGTAGCTACAGAACCAGCAAGACCGGCACGGTGACACAGGGTCCCAGCTCACCTCGCCTTCCTCGCCCTCTTCGTCATCCTCATCCTCCTCGCCTTCATCCTCATCACCCTCCTCGTCGATGTCCTCTAGCCCCTCCTCCTCCTCCTCGTCATCATCGTCCTCTTCTCCCTCGGCCTCCTCGTCATCCATGTCAGGAACCTGGAAAGGACAGCAGGGCATAAGAACCTTGCATGCAGCCCAGCACCCCTGTCCCCAAGAAATCAACGCTTGCTCACCAGATAGTACTGCAGTGGGTTGGGCCAGATGTCATCCTTGATGACTTCTCCTAGCTCATCTGCACCTGCATCTGAGTGATCAGTGAACCAAGTAAAGAAGCTCTCGGGCTCTTCGTGCTGCCTCTTCCTACTGGCTTTATTCTGCGTTTGACTTGAACGTTTCGTCAAATCCT